ATTTCGATTCAGAATCTCTTTCACAAGAGTTTCAAGTTTTATCTTGTTTTACTAATACATATTATGAAACTGATGCAGATGATTTTATAGAGTATGACAAGTTCACTTATATAAAAAACCAGAATGGTATTGTTCTAAATAACAAATTATATTTTAGTGATAATAAACTTAGGATAGATGATTCTTTAAGTTTCAAATGTAATTCTCTTTAATTAGTTTTATAACCGATTAAATTTTTTTCTGTGTAATTTTCTTTATTAAACATCTTAACAATGTCTGAAAAATACAACACTGCAAAGAGTCAATATTCAGCTTCTCAATTATCCTTTTTATCATGTCTATCTTGGCTTAATTCTGTTGCAATCATGTATAGTAATGGTATTTCTATTAACAAGAACCAGATTAATAATGAGATTAAAGTCAAACTCATGGAACAAACTAATTTGATGCAAATAAACAAGAAAATAATTAATCAATATGAAGGAGAATGTCAATACTATGCATTATATTCGATAGTAAATTCTGAAAAGAAAATTTAGATGAGTTATAGAAATAATCCTAGTAAAGATTATTATACGTATTATCAAGTAGCAAGAGATGATTTAGAACTATATGAATTATTCGTTAATTGTGTTAAGCGAGAAGTATTTGAAGAGACCAAATTAGATTTAAAAGATTTTCATTTTATTACATATGATGAAGGATTTCGTATATTTTCTAACTGCTCAGATTGTGAAATTATATTCAAAACTGCAATCTATTTAACTATTGCTGATAAAATTCTACAACTAACAGAACCTGACAAGAATTCTGCATAGAAGGCATATACTATCAATGAGTTTAAAAATCTCAAAGTTACTGATTCTTTGAGACTCAAAAAATCAGTAATAATTGAGATTATCAATTCAAAATTCAGAAATTATGAATCTTAAAAACAAGTTAAAATAGATCCTGAAGAACTCAATGAACCTGAATCTACTACATCATCTCCATCTCCACCTCAATAGTTTATTTATTTTATTATTATTATTTTATTTTGTTATATTTTTATTTTATTAAATAAATTA